GACGTCGCGGAGCGGAGAATTTCAAGCCGAGATCGGGGTCAGAGAGGGTTTAAATAAGTACGGGTCGTTCAACCTGCACGAAATTGTCCGTAATGAGAACTGGAACTGTTCGCAGCGATTATTCGTTCTATTAGGACGGCATGTAATCTAACGAGCCACTAACAACTTTATCGCCTCTCTGCCGGCATCCAGGCAACGACCACACCGGGGAAAGACCCGAGGAGACTTTGACCAATTAACGAGGAAGAATCTCGCCGCGGATATATATTAGAACGCACGAAATTCCGGGGGAAGTTTCGAGGGGACTCGAACTTGGCCGCAATGGTGCTTAGGGGGCTAATTAATTAAGAGTTTTAATTAACCGTCGGTGGGTAATTGAACGTAATTAGCCGCTGACATGCAGACATCTAGCTGCGAGGCTCCGGTGAAACGGTGTTATAAATAGTTTGCGATCTACGGGGTGGTCCGTGAAACCTGGACAGATTTCAATACACTAAACATCCGGAATGGAGATAGAAATATCGTCGATTTTTGGCGATTCGAAAATTTAAAACAATTTGAAATTACCGTACGCACCGTAGTTCGAGCGTTGTGAGATGCATTCGATAGAAAATGAAGACTTTATGGACCAATTGGATGTAATATTTACATTTAGAGGAAGATACAGCTGAATACTGAATTATTAGATATTTTATTAGCTCCAAACGTTGAGAGTGTGGCGTAGCCTCCCATGTTCGTCACCAGAGGGGTCGCGTTCTCACAAGCGCTCGACCGACCCCTCGGTTGCAAAGTAGCGCCACAATACACCTTTTGTGTTGGCCTCGCTTGTTCGTTCGCTCGAATTAATGGCGCGTTTATTAAGACGACGCGCGATTTTTACTCGTAATAAACGTTGCAGTTCCCATTTTACCGGGAATAATAACTACAGTGTCAAACCTCCGTGTCTCCTAGTTACTGTACCCGCTCCAAGCAGTCTCAGTTTCATACTAATTCCATGGGACTGCTTGTCGCTTCTAATTGACTCGTTACCACACGATCCCCGATCAACTACGTGGAAATAATCATTGTTTGACGGGAGAATTCTAAGATAAGGTCGGAAGCTTTAATATCGTATGCTCAGTTTAGGGTTGAACTCTTTCTATATTCGAATGTTTCCGTATCATAGTCCCCGGATGAGTTGCTGGAACAATATATACCAAGGTGACTTCAAATTATTTATGTAATTTTACACACTGCTCTGAGACTAATAATTCTGGACACTGCCCCTATTGAGAATATCTGTTCTATCAGTTTCAAAATGTAGTTTTCACCCAGGGTGTTTAAGCCCAGAACCTGTTCGTCGTTTTAACCATTCACAGGTTCTTTGTTCGAGTAGAAATACGAGAAGAAACTAGATATTTGATGGAGAGTTAGGCAAAAATAGCTCGCGTGCTCTAGCCTCTAATCCAGATCGTTGCCAGAGAACGCCGGACCTGGAACCATAAACATTTGGGAACGCAGGCTTTCGCATCCATCTTTGCCGCTCGCGAATTCCGAAAGGTTTCGTTCGTCGTCCAAAACAAAAAAAAAAATAGAGAAATAATAATCTGCGAGCACTCGACGTCGTTTAACGACTGGAAAAAAGGGGGGGGGTTGTTCGAAACGCGGCTAATTCGGGCGGAAACCGACTTTTTCCATGGAAATTCCCCCCAACGAGAACCGTGAACCGGTCTTATCCAAAACGCGAAGCTCCGCGGACGCTTTTTCCCCGTTTATCCGATTGGCTGCCGATCGATCGGTTCGTTTCTCATTTTCCGTCGAGTTTTCGCATAATTTTTTGCGCCCGTTCCACGAGCGTTGTCTTTGTAGCTGGAAAAACGAAGCTGCCAATTTCCAAAATGGATTATCGATGAGTCGATTGTCAACGGTCGCGGATCAGTTTTGCATCGAAACGTTTCGTTTGACCCTTTATTCGCGTTGATTCTTCTATAATTTAAACGATTCGTTCACGTGACCGTACGAACGAGTTTCTAATTGAAATACACCCGGAATACTGATTACGGCAGTGCCCCGATTCGTGCAATAATCTGCGTTAGGGGTACTTGCGACCGGTGATTGGATTCGGAACGCTTCGAATCTGTAAAATGACGGAAAAATCGAGTTACATCGAATCTGACGAGAATCTTGATTGTCTTTAATTAAACATATTACACGGATCACTCTATTTTTAACACGGGAATTATCTTTCTTTCTCATCAAACGGCGAACACGCTATTTAGTGCTCTTTATATTTTATAGAATTCGTCATAGTAAACTCCATTACGAAATATATAATTTCGTATTCATAGATATGTATTCGTGTTGACACAGTTCTAACAGAACCGGAAGTGAGGGGGGCCTGAGACCTCCCAAGACCTTTCGAACGTTGTCTCGTTTAGGGCAACAGATTTTCCTTGTTTTCTTAAATATACAATTTTGTTAAACTTTAATCGAGCCCAAATTCCGAAACCCGAAATCAAGCAGACTTAAAATACATTTAACCAGACACGATTTCATCTAAGATTCCCGTCGCGGTCTTCATTCCCCAAGTTCGCCGACAAAAAAGCAACTAGCAGCAAAATGAGAGAAACGTGTATCTCGGGCCCGTGACCAGACGACGCTGGCCGGGAATTCTTAAACGAAATCATAGATTCGGACGAGAAATATGGGCGGCAATCGATATCTCGAGGGCTCGTTGTACGAGCTTTTCCGCGGCTCTTTCTCCCTAGCGTCGCTGGCAATATTTTCCGCGAGCCAGGTCGGACCCATTGTTTCAGACAATGGTTGAACCTGTTCCGCGTGTACCCGCGAAAAATTACAGACTAGTACAATTGGGGTAATCAGAATGAATCTCGCAGACAATGCGCGAGAATGGCGCGAACGCGGCCGTCTAATTGCATCCTTGGTACTCGATTCGGGCCCTCGAATCGGAATCGAACCGAAATCGCGATTTAGCAAATCGTTGTTTGCCCTTCTATTCAATTTTTCCTGGATAGACGTTCCTCTATCGAACGTGTGTTATCGTCTTTCTTGATACAACCATTATCGATTAATCTACTACCATCTTCGTTTAAAAATTAAATATCTTTTTTAAAATACTTGGATCTTGGCGATGAACATTTTAAATGAAATCGACGACCCCCCAATTACGATCTTCCTTTGTTATTTCCGTTTGCCCCGTCGAGATCATTCCGCAGAATGATGCAAAATGGGGGGAGCACCGTTGGTCGCGCGTTGACGACCAAATGGAAGGGTTAAAAACGGATAGGAGCGACACGTAGAGAGCAAACAAAGGGACAATTTCCTGATTCGTCCGATTTTTAAATCGATCCTGTCCTGCGGCCGAGGTTTCGTTTCCAATGGCGCGCGACGGATGAAATCAGACCTGGCGGACGGGCAACGGGCACAAAACACGGTCGAGGGAGGGTACGGAAAAAAAAAAAAATGGAGAAAAGATGAAACATAACGCGGCGAAATTCAACGGGAATGGCGTCGCCAATTCGTTTTCGTTCCGAGCGAGTCGCTCTTTGCATATTAAAATTCACGGACGAATTGCAATCTGTCGCCCTTCTAGTTCGTTCGCGACTCTTCAAATATGTATTTGCCAACATTTATCGCGGATAAATTGCGTTTTGCCGGGCTTCGAGGCATTAAAATATCGGTTGAAAAACGATTCGTTGACGATGACGGGGCACCGACTTATTTACTCGAGTTGTACTTAATTATTTAATTGGAAAACGGTTTCTCTTTCAATCGCGATATTTCTTTTCAAAATAATGTTGAACGAAGACAATGTTTATTTATCTAGAACGATTTTAAATTATAAACAGAAAGACACCGGGTTTGGTAAACAAATGTATGTGTTCGCGAAACTGTGATTTGCAGTATTCTTCGGGAGAAAAATATGAACGTATACAAAAGGAAAAATTATTTGGCTGCTTAGAGAAATTTATAAAAGAGTTTTTACGGTCCAAAGAAAGAGTCATCGACGAGAGATCGACGAAATTTAAAAGTTGAAAGTTACGGACGTAATAGTACGTCAACATCCATTAGCCCGGCTGTCGGGCCATTGGTCGATAATTTTAGGTCTTCCGTCGATACAAAACGGTTCCTCACTCTTATAAATGTTATTTTACGCCTGACATTCGCCGTGTCACTGGTCGCTCCGATAGACGACGCGAAGGGTGACCCTTTTCAAATCGCGTTACCTTCAAGTCTCCTTAATTGTTCGATGAAGCGGGGTGCAAACGGGAGGTCAAGGTCGGTCTTATGAGCGCCCACCATTGATACGTCTTTTGACAATGGTTGCCACCGCCCGTCTGGGGACTTAAACCGATGTTTGCGAGAAGTGGTCCGGAATATCTCTGCTGGATAATAGGAGGATCCTAGAATTATCAATAATCGTAGGATGAGAATAATCTCGGCGTTTTTTAACGATAGACCAAGCACGGCATTAGCAATTTAAACTTTAGAGTGCCCAAAAATCCCAATTATCAAACAATATTCCTGATTTTTCGTTCGAAAATTTTCAGAATGCTCCGTTACTTTTCGAACAGCTCCTAAATTTCCGTTTTCCTGGGAACGTTTGGTGCTTGAGTTGGAATCGATAGCCTCACCTTGAAGACTTAAAAGTTCCCAGGAACACAACTCTCCCTACCCCTGCTCCCAGGCAAGCGGAAAGTCAAATTTTGTTTTGCCCGAATCAGGTATCCGATCCGGCAGCGAACAATGCGGGTCGTTTGTTTACAACGTTGTCGACGAACGTTTATCCGAGGCACTCGATCTGTCCTGCCGTCGATAAAACCCCTTGACAGTGGCGGCCGATGGCAGTCCGACGCCGGCCGTCGTTGCGAGCGGATACGTCGACGCTCGTCCCACTTCCGCTCACGAGGGAACGCGAAACTCCCGGGGATCGATCGTGATTTTCGACGCGTGCACAGAACGAGTGAAGTTTCACGGTGAACAACGTGTGTTGGTTTGTTGTTGTTACAGTGTTGGTACCGAATGGAACACCGTCGTCGTCGTTGGTCGACGCAGCTCGACGTGACCGTGGTTTTTCCGTGCTTTTCGCGGCGATAAGGTGTGAATAAAAGCCATTACGATTGGAAAGAAATTACCCATGGGTGAATCTCAATTTTATCCGAAAGTCCATAGAATTTTCATCTTACGTGGTTTCTAGAATTTCGATTCGATTCAGTTTTGGGAGTCTGTGAAAAATCTCGATGATATAGAAATGAAAATTGTACGAGTGGTGATGCTGAATAATTAATAGATTCCAGAATTTTATCACATCAGGTGTAAAGTATTATAATATTGTTGAGAGCCAAGCCTACGAAAATTGAATTAGTTTTGTTTGTTTCCTGGGAGGAATGAATCCGGAGAGCAATTCTAGTGATTTGTATTAGTAAAATCAATAAAATCCACGTGGGAAAATCTTCCAGGTGCGAATTAGTCTTCTTCGATTTCACCAGAAACATAAAGCATTTCCTTCCACTTTAAAATTGAAACATGTTTCTACTACTTTTACAAATAATTCATGCCCTGTTTAATTAAACTTTTATTCGCATCCGAGGTAGTTTCTCTTTTCCACATCGATTGATTAAAAGTTTTCAAAATTGGAGTGATAAGTTGTTGATCCTTTCGGATGTCAGGAAGGTAAATCCTGCATCGATCAATGGAACGATGAGACAAATATTGGACAAGGTTCAATGTTGTCAAATATTGGTACATAAGGAAGGTAAATCCCCCCATGGATCGATGAAACGAATATTGGACAAGGTTTAATGTTGACCGAAATCGTTTCATCGATCCACGTGGGATTTATTTTCCTTTCATTAAAATAAATCAACCACGTACCATCTCTAATCTTCAGACTCTATTTTTATCTAGTTTCTATTATCAAATATAACTCCAATATAAATTCTTTAATTTTTCTCCCTTTAACAATTCGTATACGATATACATATATTTTTACTTTTGTTTTCAATCTTTTATACCGAGCACTGCTAACCAATGGTGGAATCGTTCGCGATCAAACAACCGTGTTCTCGTTTTTTACACAAACAATTCTTTCACAATAAATGTGTTCGTTTCAAATACTACTTTTTAAATTTTTTGTGAATCGTGGTGCTTTTGTTCCCGGTTCGTTCTTAATTGCAGAACGCGAGATCGCATGGTTTGATTAATACTCCGAGTCTTTTTGCAATTATATTCGCAAGCTCCCGCTATCGACAAAGTCGGAATTAGAGTCACACACGATAACGTGTATGGCGTGACTCTAATTTTGGAGAACGGCCTGTGTGTTTTCAGTCTCGAAAAGATCCGGTTTCATTGTCTCCCTAGAACAGTGCTGGTACACACAACAGTGGTTCCAATTCGTCCCTTTCATCAAGTTTATTCGGTCCATGGAACAAAGTTAAAAGTAATTTCAAAAATCTGCACGGAAAATATGAGGGCGCAATTTAGAAATCGTATCGGCTTCAAAGCTCGACTTCAAAGCCAAACTCGATTAAACTCGACACGAATAATTCGTATTATTCGTTGACAATTAACAGTTATCGATTAAAATTACATATCGTACGAGGAGCCATCAAGAATTGCCATGTATCGAGGCAATATATTATTAAAATTTATTAATTCATCATCAACGCTCGTACAATCTCATCTATTTTTCTAGTACACTCGACAAAATTGAAATTTCGAAGAGGGCACTTCACGATCGAAACACAAAGTCTGATATAGTCGATTAGTTTAATCGACTAATCGCGAACGAGACACTCGCTTCGCATCTTACCGTTGAATTCGCTGCACGATGGAATCAGAATGAACTCGTTAACAAACTCCGTTAATTGATCTTATTTGCTGTTTATCGGTGAGTTTGTTGCGACGACGCGATTGGAATCGGAAATAGGGGGGTGGGGGACGATGAAATTTAGTGCGTCGAAGCTTGGGAAGTTGGAAGAATACGAGGAAACTGGGGAGGAAGTGGTCGGGAGCGTTGAGAAATTAGAATTTCAACGGCGGCGAATGGAAACGAGCGGTGAATTAAGATATCGGGTAATTGCGATGAGAATTTGGAGTGTCGGGGATTAGAGGAAACTCGGGACGAGACGTTGGAAAGCAGGATTGGAACTCCCAGAACCGGAAAAGAGTAGAATGTCGCGAAATTGAGGAGGGAAATTAGAATGGGGTATTAGGAAGCGAACGGCGAGCAATCGTAGCGAAATAAAAATCAGGAAATTGCTGAAATTACACGGAAAAAATAATCTTCCTTCTTTGCTCTGTCGTGTACTGCCAATAACGTCGCGAAAGAATAATATCCTGGAATTTTTAGGTTCGAAATATATCAATTTCTCGAAACGATTTCTGTCGAAACATTAACGAAGAGGTTGCTGTCTAAATATATCACTGTCCCCAATCGAAACGCCATTAGTCTTCTCCCCAATAATTAATGGCTAGCCAAAGTTTGGACCAAAGTCGGGCAAATTTTATTTCCAAATAACCGATCAAAACTGGACCGGATTTTGCCTGGTAATTCGAGCTATTTCGCGAACGGGTTTGAAATTTTTATTCGTCAATTCGAGAATCGCCATCATCATCACATCAGATGATTTTTTAATGGCGCGAATTGATGAGATCCGTCGTGAAAACGAAATTCGAGGATTCGATCGATTAGGTACGTCGTCGAAAATGATGGAATCTCTTCTCGTGGCGGCGTTCCTGTCCGCGGAACCGTCGAAGATAACTCGTACGCGGAAGCGCGCAATATCCCGCGCAGCGCCCCGTTATGAATTATCGTGATTGACATTCCTTCCTTGTGTACAAGTTACCTAACGCGCGATAAGGCGAACGTTTTTGACCGAACCATTTAATACGCGTAAACGTAGCGTCCATTAAACGCAACAATGGCGTGCGTTTGGTACGTCGACGATCACTGACGGATTCACAATAAGCTCGACGAGAGACAAACAAAATATCGCAAAAAGTTTCAGGTTTTCAATAAGAATCGATCATTGTTCAACATCCGAGCAACTTACATGCGAAGTTCGGAGGCCCGGAAATTGAAAAAATTATAAAACTTTGAGCACAAGTAGAGTAGGTCATCCATACCACACATCTATTTTTCGCCCGCGCCATAATTCACTTTCAGGGTGTGAAATTGCAGAATTATCTTTCTCGTCGAATATATCTCGAACGGTGAGAGATATTAAAAAGGCTATTTTATTCTAATATTAAAAATTGTTAGAATGGACTTCAAAAAATTCATTTTAAGGGCTGATAAAGGGGGGTGATTAAAGAAATATCATTTTGTAACATCGTGGTACTAGCTTTGCTCCGAACAGAAATTTACTAAGACGATTAATGGGAGTTCGTGTTAATTTATCGTTGCATGATCGAAAGAATTCCTCGCGGTGGTTTTGAAGAAGGTTTATGTAAATGAAATTGTATAGAACACAAGAGGAAACCGCGTGGACCGCGAAGACAAATAATTTCGAGTGGATAATCGACGACGGGTACTTAAAACAACTGGTCGACGGTGAAAAGAGGATCGCTGAAGTTTCCAACGGCGGGTCCAACGAAGCGGTTCTAATTAGCGGTGTAATTTCGATTTTTCGCGGGGTCTGCAAGAATTACGAGGAGAGATTCGACGGTGTTGCAGCCAGCGGTAAGTTCAAATTTTTATTGGGGCCTCGCTAATGAGATTTTAAGTACTGTTCGCCACAATGGAGGGTCAACCGAGTTTTAACGTGTTTTAATTTTTATTCTCCTCTTTCTGGTGGAACGAGAATAGGTCCCGCCAGTTGTTTTATCTCGGAAAGTTACTCTTAAATTTCTCCCGTCCCGCTACGAACATTTTTTTTATAAAGGACATTGCTTAACACATTGATCGCCACGCAAATAGAAACATTCGATAGTTCAATGGACTTTATATTAATATTATTAAAATAAATTTATTCTAAGCGTTTAAATGACACGTTGTAGGTTTGTAACGCTCGTTGCTTTTATGTTCCTCTGTCCAGTATTAAATGCCACGCGTTTTGAAACAGTCTGTACAAAACGTTGCATTGGCACGATCGCGAATTCGGTCGTCGTGCAAATTTCCAACGCGGCTACATCGTCGAAATGTCAATTCGCCGACGAACACAATATCGAGCAACGATAACGCGACGAAGTGTCGTTCGATTTCCATTCGAGGCGTTAGGCGAACTTTATTGCGCGCGCGATTGAACGACGCGCCGAGAGACACGAACCCGAATCGAAATCCGATATAATTAATTACCAATTACCGCTTCACTAATTTATAATGAATCTGTGCGGCAAAAATACTGGACGACCCTTTCCGCATATTCGAGAGTTCGTCGGTTCAAGATAAATTCGATTTTTGGAAACTTTTTTTATTTTATTCTGCTCCGTTTATTATTTTCATAATTTACAAATAATAGGGAACTTTACTACACAGTTTGACTAATTCTAATTAGTATAGAAATTCGTAAAAAGTATCGTTGGCGGGGAGAGGATCGCGAAACAATCGTTTCCATTATTGTTTTCCCGGAGTTCGAAAACAACCCGAGCGCCCGACAACATAAAATGTCAAGAAGTTTCGACGCGTCGGAGCTTCGTTAAAGCTTCATTTATCAATCAACGGGAACTCTCCATCGTCGGCGGTTCGATATTTCCCTCGAATTGGTCGAAAATCTCCGGCTGTTTTCGAAGCCTCGTAAATACACGGACGGTTCGATATTATAAATGGCAGACTCGTTGCTTATTAATTTATTAGTCCGATATTTCGACCGACCAACAAAGGACTGTCGAAGTCTGCAGCCGTTCGTTCGAATTGATCGAAACTTATGGTCCACGATATCTCCGTAAAAAACAAAATTTTCCTTCCTTTTATTTTTTCGATATGTACCTAACGAAATGGTTTCCAGTTTTTTCGTGTTTAGATAAACAGAAAAAAGGCTGTCCGCCAAAGTGACTGTATTTCCAACAATTTTAAATATTTCCACACGAAAAGCATTCTGTATATTGTTTCTATTTTTGTTAAATTTCAAAGAGCCCTTAAAAACTTGACGTCCAGACCAGAATCACACTGTTAAAGTTACAAATCATAAGATCATCGACAGTTAGAAGCGCGAAGGATGCTATACACGATCGAGAGATCATGACGCGAATCCCAGTTTGTTTGCAAGTTCGTTCGAGACAACCCCGTTGAATTCAGCGGGAAAATCGGTCAGCCGAGTTATTCGATCTCGTAAGATAGCGTGTTTATTAATGCCCCGGGAAACGGGATCTGGCAGACGGTCTGATGCACGGCATAATAACGCACGTTCCTGGCTGTCACTCGAACCAGAGATACACCAGTCAGCCAACGGGAAGCTGTTCTAACGAGCGCGTTTCCCGTGCGTCTAGCGACCATTCGCCGGTTCATCGTTGCTAAAATAACCTCTCCTGTTAGCCACGGACCGACCAACAGTTGTTTCGCATTTTCGGGATATCCGTTAAAAATTACGCGCCATCAACGATCGATCCTCCGCGATTCAGCCGTAACTCTGAACTCTCGCGTCCATTATCTACGATGTTCGATTTAATCTTATCGTCGATACGTATGGACTTTGGTTTCTCGGTTAGCAAGGATCATTCTATCGCTACGTCATCGTTGGGAATCAGTGAAGAACCACTGACCGTTTACCCTAGCCAACTTCGCTGACTCCATCATTCACTTTCATAGTCAATTACCTCATTGAGCCCGCTTTCGATAGCGACGGGCGTTCGAGTCTCCGGTAGAAAAATATTCAAACAATTCAATCACAACAGCAGAACCCGAACGTCGTTCGATGCTGGAATTCTTTGGGAATTCCACGTATTTTCGAAAGTTGCTTGCGATTTATCAGCGATCCGAGTTTCGAATCGTTCGAGCGTACCCCGGGAATATTTTTCTTCGCCCAAAACGCAATTTTTCGAGAAAATCGACGATATCGAGGTGCCTGCGCGAATCGTAATTCTGCACGCGACAGGCTCTCGAATGGCTTATGGGAACGCATTTCGACGCCGCTGTGTTCCATTTAGCGCGTTTCTGTAACTCGCGAAGACAGCTTTCGAAGTAGAATATCGTGTACACGCAGCCGTCGTCGTTCAATGCGCTTTCACTGTCTTGAAAGCGCGCGACGGCTTTTGAAAATCTCGCTGCGGCATTTTCCGATCGTCGCCGCCGTCTAAGAAAGTCGCCGGGGTGATACGTTTGCCAATAAACAGCTCGACAACGTGTAAAATTCGCGGTGCCAATTCACGTGCCCCGATATTACGGAAGTATAATTTAAAAAATTTATCCATACAAAAATTGATGTAAATATTTGTACGATCGTATTAAACTTCAATATCACGGACCAACTTGGATCAAAAAATGGTTTTGGCGTCGAAGATTTTGGTCGACGAAGATTCCTCCGCATCGGACAGGTCTTTGAGCGCGTAGTCTCGATCGAATTTCAAAAAGGAAATTTCCGCCCAAGTAATTTCGCTTTTCAATGAGAGTGACTTCGTGAAAAGTGGAAAATCGGCCGGCAGTGTCTGTCGTAGTCTTGAAAAGAGTCTCTTGGGGAACGGTTCTTGTCTTTATTTTTGACGTGATCTCGTTACCCAGGCTTCTTGCTCGATCATCCTGCCTTTCTTGCCAGGATTCTGAATGGCTAGCGCGTCCTTCCGCTCTCCTTTCACGATCCTACGAAAAATTCGTATTGGATCACGAGGGAAGTTTATCGAGTGGCTCTTGGACATTTCTGTCATGCGATAAATTCGGGAACTAACCTCTTCCCATTGATGCATTGCTCGCTCCTCAACTCCGAAAACGTTAAGCGAACGACGAAAATTATTTTCAAATGGTAAGTCAGTGTGTTTTCTATTTTTATGTGGTCAATTTCACCCCGGTAACGTTTAATATCGTTCGACAGAAAATTTCATAAGTTTCTCCCGATTTCACCGATTAAATCTTCCCATCGAGTCTCGATGAAACCCCGCAAAAATGCACACACGCGTGTTGTCAAAGAACTCTGTCCGCAAACTCTGTTTCCCATTCTTCGGATACGAACGAAAAAGGGAAGCGTCTCGAGGCATCCGCGATATGACTAGGGATTCCTTTTACTCTTCAAACGAATCGTAGCAACCTTCGACAGCGTATCGTCGGGAAATCTTGTAAAAATTTCTTCATATCCTTTTGTCGATGTACAGATTTTTATTATCCAACGTCTACACACCTTACGCGCTTTGTCTTCGTTTCAGTTTCACAAAGAAACCCTGTCAGAATCAATCTAGATTCCATAGTACAAGCTGCTTTTCAATCGCTTTTACAAAAGCTTCGTTACACGTCGGAACTCTAAGTTGTCGGATCGATCTCGTTCTTTTTTTCAAACTGTAGATCTTTCTGAAGGGAACAGTATAGCCACAGAGTTGAGATTTAGATCGAGGCAGAAGTCTCGACCAGATAATTTGTCCGCTCAAGGTCATCGACAGGGTACCTCCTACTATAGCATACAAAATCGAAAGTCTGCAAATCCTGTTCGTGTCTCCAGGGCAAATTACGTCGAATATAATATTTGCAAATTTAATTTTTGTGTAAAGTCGAAGGAAATTGAATCGACGAGCCCAACGACCCGCCAATGGCAAAGAAAGGATCGTTTTCGAAAATCGCGCGCGACGGCCGGTTTCAGGGCCGTTTAAACGACATGTATCTTCCCCGAGAATGTTTCATTGTTCGTCGAGGTAGAGAGGTACGTAAAGGTTCATTGTCTCTCGATTTCTGCGGCGTACAATGCCATCCAATTTAATGATCGAGATCTGAAAGCGCAACGGAAGCTTCCTTCTGCCCGTTTCGTATCCTATTGTCGCTGAAAACAATGGACGATCCCTGCTCCCTCCGACTTTCGTGTCTCTTCTCTTTATCGCCGTTGGCCCCCTTCGTTCGATCGAAAATGCCTCTTAGCCGTTCTTTTCGTCGGCGATTTTTCGCGAGCTTTTCGAAATTTTCCGCCCACGGACGTCGTCGTGCGCGCGTGGGCGGCTGTTTGCTCGCTGAAAAGTTCCCCGTCGATGGTCTCCGGTGCCCAGCGCCGCGTTGTTTGCTCTCCGGGAACGCGACGGCTCGTTAGCGCGAGCTTATTTGCTTGTTAAGAGCCTGCACGCATGAAATTATTAGTTTACCCTGCCGGGTGTTTGCTTTAATCGTATCTTCGCCCCCGCGCCATGAACGTTTGCGTGCCGATTGTTGTTTCGGGGGCTGAGATTGCAGGGTGAGGGGAGGGGGAGGGGGCGGAGTGTCCGTCGAGGAGGTTAATTGTCGGGTTTCGTGCGGTTTCGAGCGAAACGGAGAGAAATTCCGCGCGAGAACCGACCGGGAGTCCGATACAGCGGCCATTAGTGCGCTGTTTGGAAAACTTTTCTCGCCGCTGACCGACCCGGGCTTTCGCTCCCAACTGACCGAAAATTCGCCGCTGCAATCCGGTATTTGGTTATCCAGGGCGTTTACAGAAATTATATAAAATATTAAACAGTGATACTCCTCACTATCATACATATCGATTAAAGCCTCTCTTAAATCAGGTACCAGCAAAATAAACTATAGACAGACATTAGAATTTTGAAGAAAACAAATGGAATTTTAACGCGGGTCATTGC